GCCTTCAGCCACTAATCCCTGAAATTTTGGAACTCCCTCCCTCAAGCCCTTCGCCTCGGCCCCTCATTCCCCATCTTCAAGTTGCACCTGAAGACCTTCCTCTTTGACCACGCCTACGGTCACTTTCCCTCCACCCCTGGTTCGGCCTCGGGCTCTGCCATTGTTAAGCGCTCTGAGATGCTGCCCGGCGTGGAGGGCACTATATAAATGCAAGTTGTTGTCGTTAATGCTGATAGACTAGGTTTCTAGTTTTATTTCATATTTCCAACAATGCAATTAATTGTTCTTTTCATACTCAACATCAATTAGGGAATTTCTGCAAGATTTTGTAGAGAAGTAAATTATATTGCGACTCTCACAAGCCAAGCCATTTTCTGGATACATATTTTGGAGAGTAAATACATGCTGTAAATACAAAGTGTATGTATTTAGAGTCTTAAGCATGCATTTTTACCTTCTGAAATCACACCATTTGCTAAGTCTCCTTTATACTATATATTGCATTGTGAACACCTTTCAAAAGCTCTGAACAGTGGACAAGACTTTACAAAACTTACACACACTTCATGGATGTTTATTATACATTTATTATACATAGATTATACGTCAAGCCACATTACAAAGTGTTCTCAAAATTACATGTTTTGGCCAATAACATTATCAAAAAATACAGAAACCAATTAATACCAGAGATAGAATTTGTATAATGTCCTGTATATTTAATAGTCAAGTTTTCATATATTGTAAATACTAATAAATATTGCATGGGCAATAGATATTTTTTACACCTGACTTTTTTGCAAAAGCTTTTTACAATGCATTGCGAAAAACCATATATTTTTTAAAAAATGTATAATTCATGGTTCACTGGTTGCCATCTGTTGGTGAAAAAGTAATTCAAATCGTAAGATGTAAAATAGTCAGAAACCTGTGTGAAATATTTATACAAAATGTAATGAGAATTTCATACTCATTGTCAGTACAAAACAAACCTCAGAATTCTTCCTACTTCAAACAAGAGACAGGTTTAGCCATTTAGTGGCAAGTGCCAACTCTGGTGCTAATTATCATTGCTGAAAATAGCAGTTACAGGTTTGACTTACCTCCACCCCCCACTCCTGACTTCAGCATGATGGTTGTGTCGGAAGCTATTAGAATTGTAGGCCATGGGGTCATTTGAATGCTGATGTGCCCTGGCTACCAGTTTATAAGATTATTTTTTGTTGAGTTAAAATACTATTTTGGGAATCACCATTCAAATGCTCCACTCCATAGTGTGGGCAGCAGCTTTGGGCCCAACCATTGTGCTTTAATTGGCAACTGAGGGGATGGGTTAGTTGGGGTGGGATATGGGGTGTCACTGGGCTGAAGCACATTTACTGCCAGTGATCAATTTCACATCCAAAAGTACAATTTTCACATCAAACAGCACAATTTTCACCATTTGAAATATAAAACATAATAAGAAAGCATTGCATGAGCACGAGAAACGAGAAAAGGTATTTGGCCCCCTCGCTCCCTCATCTAACACAATCTCTGTCATGGACCTCATCACCCCATCCACTCTATCTCCCTAAACTCCCAAAGTCAGTGATGCAAAAACTCTACAATATACTCTATAATCTCTATAACCCCAAAATTAAACCTGCCTTCAAACTTCACATACTGTGGTCCAACTGGCGGCCCACTAATGAGCCTGTTGTAAATAAAACATTAGATGGTACTTGAAAGGAGGGAAAAATTGAACACTTACAGAAATAGGGAAAATAAGGCACTTATCCATAGGAGGAAAGTCATGAAAAATCTGTTCTTTAAAAAAAACTGACCTGGTAGACAGGATGTATTATATATTCAGTGGATATATTTACATTTTAGGTAAGCTTTTTCTGGAAGATTGTTCTGCGTGGTTGGAACTCATGGAACAAGGGAGAGCTTCTGAATTGGATTGAAAATTGTCTGAATCAGAGAACCAAAGCGTAGCTGTGTAGGGATCTGATTAGCATGAAGTGATAAGTGTAATGCAAAATGCCTTAGTCCTTGGATCATTATTGCTTACGTTATATATAATACAGATAGAGCTATCACAATTTACGGATGAAACTGATTAAAAAAAGCAAATCTTGTGCTGAGAAATGATTGTTTTCAGGCTCCTAGCCACTAGGTAAGCATGCCTCTGACCATGTCTGGAGAGAAGTTGCAGATTGATCTTAAAATAAAAGTTCTCGATTTCCAAAGACTTACTTTGCAATAACAGATGTTTCAGGGCGAATTGTTTTCAGAATTCCTATGGTTACAATATCAATCTGCCTCAGTTATCATGTAACACAAATGGTTCTGGGTCAAAACTTAGAATTTAAGCTGACATTCCAGTACAGTTCTGGGGATGTGTTGTGTTATAGGCGTTCGCCTACAAAATACACGACTATTCCACCTCTTTGTTGTTTATGGGCTGTTGTCGATGCTGATAGGTACCATGTTTGCCTACATAATATTCAACAAAGTAACTCTTTGTATGAAGTGCGTGAGGTGATCCTATCACCCCATCATCGCTGGGCTCCACTGGTTCCCCATCCCCCAGAGGATATAGTTCAAAAACCTCGTCCTCCCCTTCAAAACCCTCCACAGTCTTTCTCCTCCCTACTTCTGTGACCTGCTAACTCCATGTCGACCTGTTCACTCCCTTTGCTCAGGGGGCTCCGACCTGCTCCATGTCCCCCACCCGGCCCTCCCCACCATCAAGTCTGGCCTTCAGCCTCTCTGCCCTCACCCTTTGGAACTTTATTCCACAGTCCCTTTGCCTTGCTCCCTCCCTTGCCTACTTCAAAGCATGTCTCAAGACCCTTCTCTTCCACAGTGCCTTTGGCCACCCGCCTACGCCTACGCTTCCTGCCCTCCATCCCTCCCAATCTCAACCCCCAGCTTTGGGTCCAAATCCCAGACTGTCCTCCCGACGTTCAAAGATGCTACAAATGTAATTTGTTGTTGTTGTTCTTGAGATCTTTTGACATGGTAAGATGATAATTCAAATGCTTTTTTTTATTATTTATGCATCAGTTCTTTTATGGCAGTTTGTTACCTGCTTTGTATTTCACTCAAAGGCAATTCTGTTCTGACTGACACAATAATGCAATACAATTTACATTTATATAGCACCTTTCATGTTGGGAGAATGTCTCAAAGCGCTTGACATTGATGCTATTTTGAAAGGAATGTTTGGAATAAAAAACAAGATAACTTGCTGTTTGGTTGAATTTGTAACAGTTTTAAGTGTCCTTATAATGTTTCTTCTTCATTCAAAATCCTCCAAACACTCCTGGAGTTCCAGTTAACTGCATTCAGTATAGCCTAACCAAGGGAACAAAAATCAGTGGTAATATCCCCTTCAAGAAATAGTGATGTCATGCCCTTTCGGACGTTATTGACTATGTCAACCTGGGTTGATACTAAGCTATGAATTGCCTGACAGCTTGTGGAATATATACTATGATATTATTATCTTGTGGGCAATAAATTCTCCAACAAAATCAATCCTCTTTCTATTCATTGTACTAGAAATTCCCAGACAACTATGGAACAAAACAAATTTCAATTTGTTGTAAACTGGCTACTAGAGTAGCCACAAAATTGTAAGAAACAATATTGCTTTGATCTGTCTAAAACCAAATACTGTCGATAGTACTTGTGGTTAGAGCCTACGCACACACAGTTATCCTCTTCTATCTATTTTGTGGAGTCCTGCAGTTCAGCGGTTAGAGCACTTATCTTGCAAACAAGACACCTGGGTTCCATTCCAGGCAGAGCGAAACCTTGGGCAAGTTTCCTTACTCCACACGCCTAATAACAATCCCTCCAAAACAAAACAATAAATTGGTCATTTTCAATCCACGACTCTGCGCAATTGGCTGCTGCGTTTCGTCCACAAATATACAGTGAATTCACTTTACAGTATACTCCGTGAAGTGCTTTGTGACGTCAAGAAGACGTGAAAAGCGCTATATCAAACGCAAGGATTATTATATTATTATTTTACTATTTGCTCAGTCAGTGCTGTATGTAAAATACTATAATTTGGGAAGTACTGTATCATTTCTATAATTCCTTAGCGAGTTATGGTCAAGAACTTTGGAGGAGTAGGGGTTGAGGTTATTGCACAGAGAAAGAAAAGATCCTTTGTGGGGATTATGTGGGGTTTTCAGCATCACTAAATCATCAAGTGTACATTGTTGCTGTAATTGTTCCCTCTTCAGCAGAGGGCATAGTAAGGGGAACAATCAAATTGTTTATCTCAGTCATCCTTGCAACTCATTCTTCCAAATCACTATTTTTTAATATTCATATAAAATGTTAGGAAATAAAAAAAATTAATCGCCTTAAGCAAAGCAGCGAGGGCAATTCTGTTCTCTCCCTTGCCTCCTTCAAGACCAGTCTCAAGACCCCCTCTTCGACCGTACCCTTGTAACGCTCCCCACCCTCCACCCCTCCTGATCCCAACCACCAGCTCAGGTGTGGATCCCTGACTGTTCAACGCCTTGAGACATCCTCCTGACGTGAAAGGTGCTATAAAAATGTAAATTTGTTGCTGTTCTATTTCATACATTCACTATCTGAATTCTTCTGTCATCTAGTTCCTCTCACTCATTTCCTTCTCCTTTTTTACCATGGAGTCCTGTAGCTCAGTGATTAGAGCACTCGACTTGCAAGTGAGAGACCTGGGTTCAAGGATGAAATGTTGAGCAAGTTTCCTTACTCCATACACATGCCTCTGTTTACCTAGCATTAAGTAGGAACCTGGTTGCTGGGGGATTAGCGGATCGCTTTTCCCGGGGTAATAATTCCTTCAGAAAATGAATAATAATGAATTGGCCACTCAATCCATGACTGTTTATGGGACGCTGCTGTGCGCAATTGGCTGCCGCGTTTCGCCCACAAAATATGCAGTCAATTCACTTCATGGTATATTCTTAGAAGCGCTTTGAGACGTCTCATAATAAGGCATTATATCAAATGGAAGGATTATTATTATTATTGGATAGAATACATCATAACCTTCATAACTGTCGTTTTTTTTGTTCAGGACTGCTTAAGAACTTCTTTCTTTGATTGATCACCTCAGCCTGATTTTCATCGTAAGAGATGACCATAGCCCTGATCACAACAAAGTCAGATTGGGTGATCTACAGATACACACACAGACCTCTAACAGTATTTATCCCAACATAAACGTTTACTATCCAGTTTACTTTGTTACCAGGCTTGCCAATTACTAGTGAAGACACTGAAGTACTAAATAAGTGGTCAAGAGCATGTTCAGGATGCGGTAATAGGATCTCAATATGAACGTATTTGTGAAAAACGTTATGTTTTGAGATATGTGGGCTATGTAACTACCCAGATGCGCTAAAATAGGGATCATTGGATGGGTGAATGGATGATTGGAAGGATAAAGATACATGCATGTCAGTAATTTTCATTTCTGCATTGTTTTCATTCATTTTCTTTATTTTTCTTCATTTCCTTGTAATTTTTTCTGTTCTCCTCTGGGTATGTCACTGTATTTAATATCAATTTATAGATGGATTTGTTGTTTGTAGTTAACAGCATAAACACAGTTGTGGAAAGACAGAAAGGCCAGGTCCCTGCAGGCAATCCAACCTAAAAAACATCAGAAAATGAAATATTAAACAGTAATGCTCAGCAAAAAGATCGCATAACAATGCTGGAGATGTGAAGTTAGCACTAGTACATTTGTTTGTAATTATAGAGCAATCAACTTATTTTACAGGTCCTTGTTTAGTACAATTCAGACTCCATAAAAAAAAGTGAACTTTAGTACTGTTTTCATTCATTGTTTCTTGTTGTTAGCACAGAAAAAAATGATGTCCAACCTACACACTTGCTAGACTGGACAGTAAATTATAATGGGATTTCATTCATTGCTTTTTTTAGCATATGGTGCACAATACATTTCATTTGCTATCTCCTTAATTCCCAATAATGATTCACTTAAATCACACCCATCACCTGAGACTGAGAATTTAAAGGTTTCCAGTTTGTATGTCACCCGATTCCATGCTTACTCTACAATATGAATCTTCCTTCATATATGCAGAAATAAATCAAGCAATATTTCAAGAATAATACATCAATGCGACTCTGCCTCTTAGAATATGTTAGAATATACAGCACAGAAACAGGCCATTCGGCCCAACTGGTCTATGCTGGTGTTTATACTCCACATAACCCTCTTCCTGCCCTTCCTCAACTAAGCCTTCAAGCATAACCTTCTATTCCTTTCTCCCTCATGTACCTATCTAACTTTCCCTTAAATACATTTATGATATTTGCCTCAACAACTCCTTGTGGTATCATGTTCCACATTCCCGCTACTCTCTGTGTGAAGACATTTCTTCTAAATTCCCTATTTGATCTATTTGTGCCTATTTTATATTGATGGCCCCTGGTTTTGGTCTCCCCCACAAGTGGAAACATCTTTTCTATGTCTACCCTATCAAAACCTTTCATAATTTTAAAGACTTCTAAAGGTCACCCCTTACCCTCCTCTTTTCAAGAGAAAAGAGTCCAAGTATGTTCAGCCTTTCCTGATAGGTGTAACCTCTCAGTTCTGGGATCATCCTTGTGAATCTCCTTTGCACCCTCTCCGGTGCCTCTACATACCCTCTATAATGTGGAGACCAAAACCGTACACAGTATTCAGAGTGGGTTTCAACCAAGGCTCTATAGAGATTTACCATAACTTCCTTGCTTTTCATTTCTAAACCTCTAGAAATGAACCCCAATGCCTGGTTTGCTTTTTTAATGGCCTTATTAACCTGCATTGCTACTTTTAGTGAATTGTGTATGTGTACACCTAGGTCCCTTTGCTCATCTACCCCAATTAGGTTTTTATTTTCCAGCGTGTATGTGACTTCCTTATTCCTTCTACTAAAATGTACCACCTCACACTTTTCTGCATTGAAATGGATTTGCCATTTAAATGTCCATTCAGCAAGTGTATTAATGTCTTGCTGTAATTTGTTGCAGTCCTCCTCTGTATTAACTACTCCCTCCAAGTTGGTGTCGTCTGCAAATTTTGAAATTGTGCTACTGATTCCCGAATCCAAATCATTAATGTTGATTCAATTTAGGAAGTCCTGCTGATGTGAAAGGCGCTATATAAATGCAATTTGTTTGTTCAAATAGAATCTTGTTTGAGAATTAATGATACAATGGTTTATTTAATATACCAGGGTTTTTGCTTGCAGCTTTTAAAATAGATTATGATTTACTGTATACTCCTGAAAAATTATAGGTTAAATGCATAGTAGCCTTACTTTTACCTTCCAAGTTAATTAATATATAAGGTTTAAATTAACGTCAATGCCATTTCTTTCTCCATGATTTCTTTGTTACATTGCTATTGAAACACCAGGATTAGCTGGGACTTTCAATTGTATAGTCTATATATATATATATACACATACATTATATTTACTGTAAGGAGTACAGGAAACTTAGCAGAAATTATTATTTAACACTATTTATTTTCTTGACACTCCTATAATGTGCATGGGTGTTTGCCACTTACTGCTGAATTGAATTTAAATCATGCTTTTTGTTTTGCTAACTTGCCAGTTCACCTCATTAACAACAACTTGGATTTATATAGCGCCCTCCACGCCGGACGGCGTCTCAGAGCGCTTCACAGTAATGGATCCCGGGACTGAGCCAGGGGGAGGGGGAGGAAGGTGACCAAAGGCGCAGTCGAAAAGAAAGGTCTTCAGCAGAGACCTGAAAATGGGAAGGGAGGGAGCGAGACGAAGGGAGTGAGGAAGGCAGTTCCAAAGCCTCGGGGCATTGTGGCTGAAGGCACGGCCGCCAAGGGTGGAGCGGAGGACTCGGGGGACGAGGAGGAGGTCAGACCCGGAGGAACGAAGGCAATGGGTACTGTTTTGAGGAGAGAGGAGGTCAGAGAGGTCGGGGGGTGCAGAGGAGTGCAGGGACTTGAATACAAGGGTGAGAATCTTGAAATCGATCCTCTCTGGGATAGACAGCCAGTGCAGTCTGGCAAGGACTGGGGTAATCGGGGAGTGGAGGTTGGTGCGGGTAAGAATGCAAGTGAAAGAGTTTTGAATGATTTGGATTTTATGGATGGTAGTGGATGGGAGACTGGTGAGGAGGGCGTTAGAGTAGTCCAGCCGAGAGGTGACAAAGGCATAGACCGGGGTTTCAGCAGCTTTTGGAGAGAGGTATTGGCGGAGACGGGTGATGTGTCGGAGGTGGAAGAAAGCAGTGCTGGTGAGGGACTGGATGGGGGGAGGAAGAATAATTGGGGGTCGAACCTGATGCCTAGGTTGCGTATGGGTTTGGAGAGTTTTAGTGGGAGGTCACGTAGGTGGAGGAGGTGAGAGCCGTGAGATTTTAGATGTTGACGAGAGCCTTTCACTTTGGACCTGTTGGCAACACTGCATATTGCCATCATAATTTATGTGCAGGGTCTAACTTGCAGGTTGTGTTAACTGTGTTTAATATATCTTGAGTGCAGAAGGAATTGCAGGTGCTTTAAAAAAAAGTGATTAATAGTCAATGAAAAGGATCACAGACCCGGACCATTGGTTTAGTTATGAATCATTTTGTTTAACTCCATCTCCTTGAGCTTCCTAATTTATAATGTATTCCTAATCTGCCGATATTATAGTCAAAGTATGCTGAGGTACCTTTCCTGAATTTAATTCAATCTGCAATAGTTCTGCACACTTTCAGTTTATTTAGTTATGAGAGGCAAACCTGATTTTGTCCTATGTCTATTTAAAGCAGCCATGAAATTTATGGTTGATACTGCAAACGTTAGATGGATGTGAAGGGAAAAGGGAGTGCGATTACAAATGTATTTTACATTGAACATTGCTGCTGACATTTTTAAAGCAAGCTTTTAATGATTAGTAATACAGTACTAACTTACCACTGACATCATGTTCATCAGTGCTTCTCCTAAGTAAGCACAGAAAATTGCTATTGAGGAAAAAGAAAGAGGAAAACATTGTGTTTAGTAAACTTGAAGCAGTTTTTAGAAAAATAATTATGAAAATGACTGTATTCTCTGTAACATCACAATTGGCACTAGCCAGTTCCAGGTTGAAATCTTGGTACGTCCATTCAGACTTTCATCTTTTCAAAGTCAATAATGCAAATACCATGCCTGAAAACAATTCTTACCCGTTTCTAAATAGGCGTGCATTCTGTTGGTGCCAAACGTACCTCTGAATCAGTAGGTTGTGGGTTGAAGCTCCTCATTGGTACATTTAACTCATAATCTAAGATGTCACTGCAGTGCAGTGCTAGGGACATATTACACTATCAGAGATGTCATCCATCAGATGAGATATTAAACCAAGATGTTATCCTGTGTGAAGAGCTCTATATAAATGCGAGTTCTTGTTGATGCTGTAACCCAAGGTCCGCTCTGCCAGTTCAGGTGAATATTAAAGATTCCATTACACTATTTGAAAAGAGAATGGGGTATCTCCCACTGTTGTGGTCAACAGGGCCCAGGTAAACTGGGCATTTATTTTACGTCAGTTTGTGGGACACTGCTATGCGCAAATTGGCTGTTACAGTCGCCTACAAACACATAGTCACTATACATTACAGTGAATCTTGTGAAGCACTTTGAGATGTTTCAATGACACAAAAAGGTACTCCATAACATGCAAGAATTCTAATGCAATCGTGATAACAGGATTCAGATGATCCATATTTTAAAACATACCACACATTATTGACAGGATATGGGTTTCCCATGTCAATGCATAAAACACTCCTCCGATAGCACTGCAAGCCAGAACGCAATTATAGCTCCATATTCCATCATAAATTTTCTTGAATGGTGAAGCCAGTGATAATCCTGAAAGGTAAATTGATTAGTAAAATATGTAGCTTCTACACAATTACAACAACAGCTTACATTTATACTGTGCCCTTCATGTAGGGTAGTGTCCCGGAGTGCTTTACAAGTAAGTAGATACTTCTGTACTGTTTCAATGAGAGTGTGCCTGATGTTTCAGCAATCTGAGATGCTACCCCACATGAAGGGTGCTATATATATCAAGTTGTTGTGTAATTATTTAGTAATCTAATGTACTAACCAAATTATCTTTTAAAATGTTATATTCTATATATTGTAGTACAATACATAATATAATAAAAAGTATATATTCTTTTAGATATTGGTAAACTATATATTATGGCACAACACTTTATATAATATACTAAAAAATAAACTTACTGATATTATAAATAGTTTTTATTTAATACTGTTCAGTGAGCTCTGATCTGCTTCACATCTCCCGCCTCGCCCGCCCCACCATTGGCAGGTGGGCCTTCTGTCACACTGCCCCCACCCTCTGGAACTCCAGCCCACAGTCCCTCCATCTCGCCCCCTCCCTTGCCTCCTTCAAGACCCATCTCAAGACCATCCTTTTCAAACATGCTTTTGATCACTCTCCTTTCCCCCCTGACCTCCAGCCTCCCCAATCCCAACCCCCAGTTCGGGTCCGAAACACTGACTGTTCAGCGCCTTGGACGTCTTCCTGACGTGAAAGGCACTATACAAATATAGTTTTGTTGTTGAAACCAAAGTCATATTGACGTCTATT